ACACACCCCCACACCAAGAGAGAGAATAAAAGGAAACTAAGAATCTGAGAACCATGATAATTTGTTGGCAATGCACATGTTTACTAATCAGAAGCAACCGTAACAATTAAAATAGTACAATATTAGACTGGGCAAGGGACCCACGGTTCTAAATGGCAGAAAAGCATTTCCAAAATGAAAGGATAGAGAATCATGGATATTAACCACAAAAGAATCAGAGCTGGCAAATAGTGAGGAAAGAAGAGAATGTCCTGATTCATATTTAATTTCCAGTTAAGATTAAAAGTGTAATATAGGCTGAATTATCTTATTTTATCTTATATATCCATCCTCAATTTTGAATTTTATGAGACTAGATAATGTAGATATTTCTTTAAATAAAGAAAGAGTGAGTCAAAAATATTCCCAAACATAACGGGACTACTTAGTTATCCTGATCCGTGTCTATGCAACAGTACTGAGTCAGTAAAACACAAATATCACATTCCTCATTGCTTTTCTTAACAATCAAGAAGTGAGAAAAATGCCAACCATCTCTTTCCCAACTCTAAGCAATTATTCCCCCATTCCACCAAAAAATGTCAGTTGCATTCCATCAAAGCGGAAAATGTCCCTAGAAACCCCACCATTAAATTCCCACTTTGTCCAGGACTTCTTTCTTTTCATGGGTTACTTACCATCTGAAATGTATTCTTTAGCGCTTTCCTACTTGCCTTGAGCGACAAAAATGCAAGATGAACCCCAAGACTATGTTAACTGCTGAAATGGGTATTGAAGGGCTTGTCTAGGCAAAGGCACAGATAACACCATCCATCTCTTCCCATCTCTGCTGCCTGATCACAGGTTTGACAAGAGGGAGAAGATTTATATATTGGATATGCATTATGTTACAGTCCCGGAGGTTTAATGAGCCATGAATAAACAGAAAATGACCCGAGGCTTAAAGGAGATGCTGCAGGTGAGGTGGCTATGGCTTAAAGGCCATGGTCTTCCCTCTTCCTGCTAATTAGGAACAAATTCCAAGCTCATGAAAGACAAGGACCCCATGACCCTCCCTCTGCTTGTTGCTCTCATCTCATCTCCCACCTCTGCTCTTGGCAGCCCTATGATCTTTGACTCACAACCCCCTCTCTTAAAATCTAGGCCATAATGCTGTCATTCTTCCCAGGATCCACTTCTTTACAATTGTCCCCTGACTGGCATCTACTTATTGTTCAAGACTCAGCTCTAGTGTCACATATTGGGGCAGGTACCCTGCCCCTCTGTTGTCTCTATAAACAGGATTTATCTCCATCTAGCACCTACTAGGTACCTGGTGATTATCTCTTTGCTCAGTTGTCTCCTCAAATATGAGCTTCTTCAGGGCGGGGACCAAGTCTTTTTGGTGTTTGTGTCTCCAGTGTACAGCACAGCGAACACTCAGTCAATGTGTGCTGCTTGCCTGACTGGCGAGTTTTTCCTTTTCTTCTAAAGGTCAAGTAGAAGGGCTATCACCTATAAAAGCCATTAAAGCCATCATTGATTTCCCCACTGAGGGTAGGGAGGGGTTTGCAAGCCAGAGCTTTTACTAACCAGGGTCATGTTTATATACATTATGTCCATGCAGCACGGGAAGGGGATAAAGTAGTGCTGACTCATAAGACTTCATAGTTCTTGGAAATCTGAATTAGAGGCAGGATTTTAACCAGCCGGGCCATGTGAGGAATGGTGCAGGGTAGACAAAAGAAGCCCCTAGAGCCTGGAGCTTCTCCTCCACCAGCTGGGTGTGAAACACTTTCAAGCACATTTTGTTCGATGATCAGTTGAAACCCGTTTGCTAGCACTTCTTTTCTTTTTTATCACATAAGCCCCTTGGACAAGATGCAGGGCCTTTGTTGGTGAAAAGAACAGAAGGTGTCACACTCACAAAGGCCAACAGATTTAGACTTTCAACATTATCTCCAAGTGAGGTGATGCACATGGTCACAGACGGGCACTAGCAGAGCTGAAAGAAGAAGCTGTTAATCGTATAACTTCAACCTTGTGTCCCATTACCAGAGCACCCTGTGTGAAGTGTACTGTGAACTAGAACTTCTAATAAATTCTGTAACGATCTTGAAAGCAGCACGATTATTTTGAATTTGTGTGTGCATCAAATATGCTAATTTGTTAAATGTAAACAATGTTTACAACTATTTGTCATGTCATCAGGAATTAATATACCAGGAGCCACCTCTCTAGATCTTCAAGAGTTTCTTGCAAATAGGGAATTATTTATAGGATCAATAGACAATGGGCATTGAATCTATTTCATCAAAAGGGAAAATTCAATTTACTTCTTACTCACCAAATTAAGTTTTGCCCAGAACTCGGGTCCTTCTTCCATCTCTCTGAGGCTTGGTGGAATGTACCAAAAGCAAATATTGGCATATTCAGGCTGAGGATTAAGAAAATTTGAAAGTTTTGTTAACCTAAGGTTAATCTTAGAATGCAATTAAACTCTTAGCTAGTTTCTTTAAGAGTTATCATGTGTGTATTACGTTGATAAGTCAGAATCGGACAGAGTAGACATCCATTCTGCTTACTTCTGATAACAGCCTAATGGGAAATTTTTCTTCTCAGTTGGGTACACTTAGAGGGTGCTCTTTCCTCCAGGTAAGGGAAGAGCACAAAATCAGGAATAAACATTGTAAACTTTGAAGCCAACTCAACCCAGCTCTGCCTGATACACATGTGCCCAGAGATGTCCTGGTTCCATCCTCTTCAACTCTAATCTTTATGCCATCATATCCTTCCGATAATTCCTTCTTTCCCTAAGGAGGCCAAAGTTGGCTTCTGTTACCTGCAATACCTGATAAATGCAAAATCCCCGATTACCTGTGAGTTGATAACATACGCCCCACTCAGGCTTCACTGACCAGCCCTCTGTGACCCTAGCCAATGCCGCTTTGGAAAAAAGAAAGAGCATCACCTTGACTCCAGGCTCTCAAGTATCAGTTTCAGTCTCAAGTATCAGAAAGGATGTGAGTTAGCTAGGGGTTGCTCAAAGTACAGATTCTCAGTCCCTGTGCTTAGAATGCCCAGAGTCCCTCATAGAAAAGGCTGAAGAACTGGCATTTTGTGAAGCCTCCCAGGTGATTCTGAAGTGAGTATGCATCATCTATGTTTGAGAAAGCCTGATCTCAAGTGGCCATAGCCCAGTCATCTTCCCCAGTAATCTGCTTTTCTATGAGACACGATTTGGTTAAATATGCAATAACATTCTCAAACAGGTTTTAGTCTAGCCATTGCCACACAGACAAGGAAGTCTTCTCCACCACACCTTTCATCCTCACTGGACAAAAAACACAGGGTATGCCAAAGGCAATGGCAAGACTTGTATTCAATGACCAGGTGATTTGGGACACTATATTGGAGGTCTTATATCATATATATATTTTATATATTATATATTTTATATATTATCTTATACATATAATGTTATATATTCATATATTTTATATATATTACATATTTTATATTATAGATCTTTACTTATTTATTATTTATATTATATGATGTGTATATTGGATACACAGAATTGTATTCAGGAAAGATTATTGGTCATGCCCACCCACTCAGCATCTTCCTTATTTGATTCTTAGCATTGACAGTATTTGAAATGATTCCCATTTTTCCACCACAAACACAGTGTGTAGGTAATAACCAATGTTATAACAGTTCTCGATAACCATCAGTTATGCTCCAGTGTCAGTATAAAGTTTCGAAGTATTTCAGAAAGAGGAAATAGCTCTCATTTCATATCTTAAAATTAAGACTGGTACTACACAGAGTTCTGATTTTCGCGGATTTTAAATCACAAGTGAATGCGCAGAAACATTCTCAGTTCAACAAGATGTTCTTGATCTGATCATCCTTTCACCTTTGAAATTTGTGACATGCTTATTGGACTTGACAAAAAAGAAGAGCTACAAATCTAGAGTAATTCAAAATCAAGTACTATGTAATTTAACCCAATTTCCACAAATATTTATCATGAGACTACAATAGTTTTTAAAAATTTGCACAATTTATATTTGGATTTCTAATTTGTAAGTGATTGGTTTCTCTAACATAGAATGTACTGGCTTTCAAGACTTTTAATCATTTAATGTGAATAAATCTTTTCAAATAAAGTAGCTATAGTTGATTAGAAAGTAGAAAAAAATACAGTTATTATCTGTCACTAGATTCTAGGAATGCATGTTGTATCAACAAAGATTTTTTTTCTAGATACCATTTATGTCAGTTACCAATTTATTGCCTCTCAGCTCCAAATCCTCCCGTTCTTTGTGTCCTGTGAAAATGGAGGTAGACTCTATAAGCATTTCTCCTTGCCGTCTGGTCCAATCTTAGAATTTATCAGCAGAGGGTGCTGGAGGGTCACTGAGAAGGAAGAGGTGTCTCTTCCTGGTTCTGATCTGCTCTCCTCATGGGTCTCCTGCAGTATGTGTGCTTCTTCTCAGCAGCCTTGGTGACCAGCAGCAAGTGGCCCCCCAACCGCTCCCCCAGCACCACCCCCTCTGGTGGCTTCACAGCCGACTGGCAGCAGGGGGGCACCCGTAAAAGGCTTTACTGGCACACTCCCCTCAGGTGGTTCCATAAGGGAGTGCTGCCAGCGAGGCACATGGCCTTGGATGGCTTCTCTGGAACCCCCGTGGGTAGCTGGAGTGAGCTCCGAGGTATGACACTGCCCTGAAAATGGCTTTCTCCAGCACTCCAGAAGGTGGATTTCTAGAGAATCCCACTGGAGTGACACCTCAGTGAACTTCCCTGCCATCCAGTGAGCCACACTGTGCTCTCTCCAACCAAGTCTGGATCTCAGCCAGGGAGGGGGTGGCTTCTTGCCTGGACGCTCTATCTCAGTTCCAGGAGTAGTGGAAGTTCTCTATATCTGTTATTCCTGTACTTTTTAGGGTTCTCTTTCTCTCCATGAGGCAATCCCCTCTGACTCCAAGCTCCTGTTAATAATTCTTTTTTTAAAAAATATGAAATGCTTCACAAGTTTGTGGGTCATCCTTGCACAGGGGCCATCCTCATCTTGTCTGTAACCTGCCAATTTTAGTACATGTGCTGTCGAAGCAAGGACAATAATTCTTTATATTGCACTTTCCCACTTCAAATTGCTGTGCAGTTTTTGTCTTCTTATTGGACCCTGATTACTACATCATTAAATTAGTTATTTCTTTTCATTTATGTGGCAACATTATGAATCATTTTGCAACAGTTTTTATCTGCTACCAGATGTGCTCTATACTTTATAAGTTAGGATCTAGAACTTTGAATCACCTTATAAATTTGCTTCCTTTCATAAGTTTCTGTTTAGATATTTTAAAAGTGATATATCTGTGATTCCTTTCCCCCAAATGGTCTCTTTTAGAATGGCATGGCTTCAGTGCTATGACATTTGAAAAACTGGGAAGCCTTTTTGACACTTCACTTCTTTCAGTGGAGGAAATTTGATGCTCCATTTGGTGAAATACCATTACTGTAGTCATTTCCAAAATTATTAAGAGTTGGAAAAGACATCCCCTTGAATGTTCACAAGAAAAATATTTGAGTTTTCCCTGTATCTTTGCCTCTGTAGCTTGCATTCTATATACTGACTTCCTTCAGGAGGCTTCATAGCACTAGTGAGTATTTTCAGAGTAGAACCATTCACATGCCACTTAATTCCCTACGTATATGAAAGCCTGACCTCTTGGGTGTCTTAGGAACACATTTAGTCTACGTTCTCTAACACCATAAACTTGAGAAGATATAAAAAGGAATCCAAGTGTCTAAACCAGACAGATGATAGGGCAGGACACAAAAAACCTATAGCAGTAAAACCATTGTCATAATCTCTAAAAATTCATGGAGAAGAGAAGCGTCAGTGAAGAAAAGATGGATGCACTCTATCCTGATTTTCAAAGAGGAAAAAATAGATATATTCCAAGAAATAAAGCAGGTGATTTGATGTCAATTCCTGCAAGGATTATTGAGCAAATGATATGAGACCCCTTGAGGGAAAAAGTCAATGGTCACAAACATGTAGCTTGCATTCTCTAAAACTGAGTCATGTTAAAAGAAATTCATCTCTTTTGCTTATAATGTCATTAGATCACAATAGTAGTGATAAAAAACAAACCTAGCAGTACGCATTTTAATAAGTATAGATGCAGAATCTAGCACATAGAACGAAACAATCAATCATGCAAATATGGAACGGAGAGAGAGGCCATGGTGGCTATTAATTGACTTCAAGCTCCTAACTTTTAAATATTTGATTAGACTGCTGAAATATTTCAAAGACAGCCCTGAGTAGCATGGAAAGACTGGGTTTTGGAGTCACATAGATATGGTTTGAATCCCAGCTTCACCAGGTCTTTGCTTGGACAAGTGTCAAACTCTCTGAGCCTCAGCTTCCTAATCTATCAGATGGAGATCATATTGTCTGAGCCACGGAGTGGGTTTGATGAGTAAGGAGATTATTTTCAATATTTACTACTATATCTGGCATACAGCAAGCACTCTATCAGTGTAGTAACTATTATTTGGGATTATATTAGCATAAAAAGATGTCGTTTTCAAGCTGATGAATAGCCCCATTAAAATCTGTACTAGGTGAGACACATCACTATGCTGGTATCTGTGAACCATGTTTGAAGAGGAATATTAAAAAATTATAGCATGTCCAAAGAAGGGCAACTGAAATGTTCAATTTAATAAGCATAAATTTTCCGTGTTCTAGATATTGGGTCAGGCGTTGGGATGAGAAAAATGACTTGTACTATATGCTTATCTCCAGGAACTCTCAGACTAGTAATGGAGCAAGGTACAGGCAATTAAACTGCAATGGAATGAGCAGTACAAAAGAAGAAATTTCTTGTAATCCAAGAAACATTCCTGGCAAAAGGAATAGTACACATGCGGAAGCCAGTATATTCAGGGGGATGGCAAGAACTTGGAACGAATAGAGGACGGGTTGTACCGGAGAGAGGTGAAGCTGGAAATGGAGATGGTTGTCACCTCATGAAGGGCTTCCTCATCTGCCATACTTAGGAATTTGGGCTTGATGCTAGAGGCAATGTGGAGTCACTGGAGTGTTTCAATCTAGGCAACGGATTTCATTTTAAAAGTCCACAGTGGGGCTGCAGTGTGGAGATGGGCTAGAAGGGTCTGAGTCTGGAAGTGGAAGATGAGTTAGGAGACAGAGCCAATTTGAGGAGTGATGAGGGCCTGAACCAAGTCAATGGCTTCAGGAGTGGAAAAGAGTAGCAACAAAGATATAGTTAGGGGAAGGGGAAGGAAGATATGAAGACAACATCAAGATTTTTGTTTGGATGGATCATAGTTCTAATGACCAAAAGAAGAATATAGAATTTGGGTAAAGAAAATGGCTACCTTTCAGCTTTACAAATGTTGAATTTGAGGTGCCTGTGGGGGTCTAATTGAAAATTCCAGGACATGGGGCTGGCCTGCTGGTGCAGTGGTTAAGTTCGCACGTTCCGGTTCTTTGCGGCCCGGGGTTTGCTGGTTCGGATCCTGGGTGCCGACATGTAACCGTTTGGCAAACGCCATGCTGTGGTAGGCGTCCCACGTATAAAGTAGAGGAAGATGGGCATGGATGTTAGCTCAGGGCCAATCTTCCTCAGCAAAAAGAGGAGGATTGGCAGCAGATGTTAGCTCAGGGCTGATCTTCCTCAAAAAACAAAAAAAAAAAAGAAAGAAAATTCCAGGACATACCTATATGCAAAGGACTAGAGTTTAGGAAACAAGTCAAGGAGGGAGACATTATTGAGGCTATTGACAACAGAGCTCTAGATATGGATAAAACAGTTCAAGGAGAGCATGTGGACACAATGAAGGGCCAAAGACAAAAGAGTGAAGCAGAACATTTAACGGGGTACCCAGATGAAGAGACCTTCACATAGAGACTGAGAAGAAAACGTCACATGAAAAGGATAAAAACTGGGAGAGGAAGCCAAAGAAACCAAGATAGGAGAGAATTTCAAGAGGGATGGAGTGGATAATGGTATAAAATGCTGCAGAAGTCTAATAAGAAAAAGATTAAATGATGTGCATTGGATTTAGCAATTATAAGGTTGTTGTGATCTAATAAAACTATATAAAAAGATAATTATAATTGCAATCTGCTTGATACATGCTAACAGTAGGATTCAATACGTATTTGAATATGAATAATTAGAGCTCCCTGGAAGAGGAATGAACTGAATTCTCTGGCACAGGAAGTGTCCAGGCAGAGGCTGACCTCCTGTTACAGGTACTGTTAAGAGAGATTTCCTACACTGAGCAGGAAGTTGACTAGATGTCCTTGAAGATCCTTTATAACTCAGAAAGTCTATGAAACCTAAATAACTCTTCCTAATGTAGAACTCAGGAAGAGAAAAACAAAAGTTGAATAATTACGACTCTCCCGAGAGATCAAAATAAAATATGTGAACGATAGTATAAGAATGAATATACCTCGAGGAAAACATCTATTAGATCTTAGATCCAACACAGGAAAATAGAGATGATTTTCAGGGGCCTATGAATAATGCAGAATTCATTTGAAATGATAACTTTCAATCATCTTCAAGAAGATATACATTATTTTTGCTCTTTTCAAGAAAAGATATTCAAGCACCAGATACTCTGTTTTGTTGTGTTCATTTACTGTTTTCAACGTTCCACTTAACACTCTCACAGCTATCTGCTAAACAGTGAAAAAATATATAATTATAGACCTCTGTTTTTCCTAAACTGAAAGACTTGCAGTTTCACAGACCTGGGTTCCAATCGAATCTTTGTATCTCTTAAGTATGCATTAGGGTTATAGTTAGTCAAGCCAAAGAAAGCATTTGTTAACAAAAAGAGTCTAATCAACTTGACACTTATATGTGAAATTCAAGGTCTAAATTTAGTTTATTTGTCCAAACAGAATACAGAGAAAATAAGCAAATGCAGATCACATACAAAAATCCTTCTAAGTAGGCATCCTGGAGTACCATCGAGGAAGTCACCTTTACTGCTTTGGGGTCATCTGGCTCGCACAGACAAAATATTCAGGGCAGAAGGCTGCCTAATGATTAACACCCACTTAACTTTCATTACCAGGATGTGAATGTTTGCAGTTCCCTGATGATGATGGCAAGAGGTTCCTCCCTCAGTCTTTAAGCTTTTAGGAAGAACATATAAATAACTTTTAAATCAGTTCATCTTTTTTCTCATCACTTTTCTTCTTATCTCTATCAAAAGACTGTGCAATTATGAGGTGCATAGCACTGTCCATAATTACTATAGCTCCCATAGCCAGAGAAATAAAGGCGGCAATTCCAATTTGAGAAAATAAAGCAGTAATTCAACCACAAAAAAATGAAAAAGGTGATTCAAAGTCAAACTCAAGCCAGTCACAGAGCTGTTGTTTCATCCCCAGATGCGTAAATATGCATCTCTAGAAAATATAGACATTTTCTTACAGTCATAATGCCATTATCATGCCTAACAAGATTACCAATAATTCCTACCAGTTCATATTAGAAATTCTTCAACTGTTTCAAAATTTACATTTTTCAATTGACTTGTTTCTTTTAATTTTTTTAACGTTATTTTTTATTGTAACATTGGATTATAACATTATATAACTTTCAAATAAATGTACATCGTAATGTATTCCGACTTCTGTGTAGATTACATCATGTTCACCACCCACAGACTAATTACAAGTACCATTGGCTTGTTCAAACCAAGATTTCAACAGGTCCATACACTGCATTTGGTTGTTATACCTCTTAGGTCTCTTCGAACCCTAAAGTGATCATCGCTACTCTCTCCTTTATTTTTCTTCATGCCACTGACCTGTTGAAGAAACCAGGTCAGTTGTCCTGTAGAATATTCCACATTCTAAATTTGTCTTCTTGCTTCTTTGTAGCATTACCAGAAAGTTATTTAAATATAGATTCTTCTGCTATCTTTGCAAGTTCCTTTATATCCCTAGTTTTCAGGAGCTTTGGATTCTCAGAACCTTCTAGTCTGATGCGTCCTTTGTAGATAGTGGCAGAAACCATGGTCAGGGTTCTCCAGAGCAGTATTTCCCAAAGCTGC